TATAAATTTAAAATTCAAATGTACAGGTTTGTTATCTCGACCACTTCTCATGCTAACAACTCAGATTACATGGGATTCTCTTGATTGAGGAGGGATCCTAAGTGTTTACTCGGGTTGATGTGACGAACTAGCGATTGTTTCTGAACGACCTTTTCTCGTATGAAGTGGAAATAAATTTCAATAATGCTTTTCATGCGCAAAGTTAAAAAGAAAAGTAAAATTTGAGGTAATAAAGTGAAGAAATATGGAATCTTTAGGGGTATAAAAGATACAAATGTGTAATCTTTTGGGTATCAAAATGTTAAAAAATTTTGGGATATCAAAGTTAATAAGGTACAAACTTTAAGGAATCAAAGTGTCAAAAAAAATTTAGGGTATCAAAGTTTAAAAGGGGTGAGTCAAACAAAGTTTAAAAAGGTGAGTCAAATTGCGAATAACCCTTGTAAGACTATTAGCTAAGGGTAATTTCGTTTTCGAGGGACCAAATCGAAAGACTCCTAGGACTCGAGGGACTAAAGAGTTAATTTATAGATTTGAGTGGGCTATAGAATTATTGAAGATTTGAGGGACTAATATCTAAATAGCCCCTCAGTAATTCCTCCTTCGGTAGCTTTTTCAATATTTCCATTTACTACTATATGAACGTATTGTGCTTAAACAAGCATCCTAGGGTCTAAAATGATATTTGATTATTCTTGTGTTTTGTGTGATGTAGAATGAAAGATAAGGTAGTTGTCACAAGCTACCAAGCGTCCAATCCGAACTATTTTTGAAACACATTCACAGTTATTGATTGTTGCTATATTTATGGATAACTATTACAAGTAAAACACTAGTTATCTTCAGATGCCATGCTTCGGTCATTTTCCTGTTTATAACATGTAGGAAGGAGAATGCCTTTAAAAAAAGATGGCTATTTCATGCAAGATTTCTTATTAGTCTGCCAGTCCATCTATATATATCACATGCTCTACTCCTCTATACAAACGGGAGAACCCAAGATTCACTACTCATGATACAGTAAATGCTACAGTAGTCTTAAATTTAGTTTCTCTAACCATTAGACCAAAACTCCAAAGTTATGGTAAGGATCAATGATTATAGTTTTATATTAATTCTAACATGGCCCCGCAGGTTGAACGCCCTTTTTTTATGGGTCGAAACTTGGACTCACGTAGCGATGTCAATTTTTTTTAGAAAACCCGCTTTTAATTCGTGGCCTGTGAGATTTGAACCTGGGTTGTTCTGATACTATCTTAAATTTAGTTCCTTTAACCATTACACCAAAACTCGAAAGTCATGGTGAGGATCAATGATTATTGTTTTATATTAATTCTAACAAGTAGTATACACGATAGCATTATGAAACTGGACACTGTGATTAAAAAAATATTATTATAGCACAGAGGAATATTTAACAAAGACGGGGATACCTGTAGCAATTCAAAAAATCCAAAAAAAACTGTAGCAGTTAAACCAAGATTATTGTAGCGGGAAAAAATTGCCATGTTCACACTAGTGTTTATAGAAACAAAAGCTATGACTGCGATTGACCACGAATTAGCTAACTATTGAACAAAGGGAGCAATTGCGAACTCCGCATCTTCTAAATGAACCAAAAATGGAAATACGATCCAAAATAATTTCGGATTTTTTATTGTTGCCAATCATGCGTGGCCTCACATTAAATATGTGATGCATGTCAATCTGCAACTTGTTTTGATATTTTGACCAGTGAGAAATCACTTTGGTAATTAATGTGTTTTTTGTTGTGTTTTTGTAAAAAACACCATGCCATGGTGTTTCTTTTTCAAATGTGTTTTGAAAATACCATTTTGGTCAAACTAGTTTGACCATTTATATAGCGCCAATGGGCAGGCAGCGGCGACCCCCATGCCATGGTGTTTCTTTTTCAAATGTGTTTTGAAAACACCATTTTGATCAAACTAGTTTGACCATTTATATAGCGGCAGTGGACGGGCGGCGGCGG